CAGTGAGTGGGAACCGGTCTGTATGTGGGATCCGAACCCTCGGCGGGAGCGCCGCCACTCTCCCAAGTGGCTCACTGTAGCAGTGCGCCACCAGGCCAGCCCAGATACACCTTTTTTTGATAGCCATGTAGTATCATCTCAAAAGATTGCAACTTTCTTCCTATCAGATATATGTCCAATTGTGCTTTCCTAAGGTAGGTGACTTAATGGTGCCCCTGGCCCAGAGCTCTCTGAAGTACTAGTTCTGGTATTTCCATCGCAATGTACAGAAGTGGGGATGGCAGGGAACACAGTTTGGCAACTCTTCCTTTTATCTCGTTCTGAGTGATATTTATAGGTGTTATAATAGGGCTCACAACTTACCTGCAACAGGGACCAGGTATGTAGCACAAAGGAGTGAAGCAGGTCTAATAAAACAATCTCAGTGGCAACTTGCATATAAACATATTTCTTAACACTCTTTGCTGTAAGGAAAAAATAGCACAGGGGTAGGGATAAGTGGCAAATGACGCTCTGTTGGGTGAGGGGACAATGGTGAGTTCTGGAGACTGGCGAGCTGGGGAAGGCACGTCCCTTTACAAAATGACAACTGCTGAGCTCCAGAAGGCTGTGGCCATGTAGAAATGAGGTCCTGAAATTACCAGAGCTGATTTTTGTTCAAGAGAAGTTGTGTAATCTGAGTTTTTAGGTGAAATCACCTGATTTTAAAATGTTGGGAACCAACTCAAAATTTTAAAAAATGCTCTACTAAACAAAACATGTCGGGGCCAGATTCAGTAAGGAAATTCTGCCGTCCATGTGAAAGGATCCCGTGATTAAACATTTTAGAAAATGCTGATTTCAAAAAAAAAAAAAAAGTAGACAAAAAAACATAGGCAGATTTTTGTTGCTATTTTTTTAAACCATAGAACTTCTCAGGGCCTTTCAGATACTGATATGTTTGAATCTCCAATTCAGTCTCAACAGCTTCACATAGACAAAGCGTCTCCTAAGATCACTGTCTAAAGATGGCCACGTATGTCCATTTTCAGTTGATTGCACGGCTTCATTTCAGCCAGCAACATTTCCCCAAGTTAAGGGGTGCATTCTTGAGGTCTCAAAGCCCCATGCACCGGATGCTGACTGCAGTAGAACACAGTAACAGAGACAGCCTGCCCTGGCTCGGCAGGGATATTCCCATTTCTTATCCAGCGCATTTATTTGATTCTAGAACAGTCTGGGCCGAGTTCAACTTTGCCCAGAAGCTGCAGGCTTTCTGCACCTGTCAGTCTCACCTCCTGCAACCCCTTCCTCCTTCTTACTTTCATTTCATGTTCTTCACCCCTGTGAAATCCGGCTCAAAACTCACCACCACCAACTCCTCCCAAAGTACCCTTTGACTTATTACCTGCCACCCTGCCTCCTTAGCTGGTGCTGATTACCCCAGAGGAAGATTAAGCCCATACTTAGGGCCCAGCAAAGTAGAGGAACCAAAAAATTAGAAGAAGAAAAGGGCAGCTGTGGTGAATTTATCTAGAATGTTGCAATTGGAAAACCTAGAAAGAAGCTTTTTAAATTTCAGCACTCATGTGAGTCTTCAGTGTTGTTTTATTTTGAATTACTCTCAGGAAAGGCAGATCATCATCTTTCCAGGGCCTGTGAACTTGCTAACATACATGGAATCAATTCGTTTGGATTATTTCACACTTTTTGTTTGTCATCTATAGGCTTCCAGCTTCCAGAAGGAATTGGTGGTTGCCTGCAATAAAAAACACATAGATGACGAGGGTTGACACGTGCCATCTGCTCCAGCCTGTCCAGCACTCCAGCCCTTATCCCACTCTAGGCTTACTGCCAACACCTCTGAACAGATCTCCTGCCTCCAGCTCCCCTCTCAAGTCCATTCTGCACACTGCTGCCAGAATGATCTTTCTAAAACACACAGCCATTATATCGCCTTCCTGCTTTTTATTATCTCTACCTATATTGTAAGCTGCCTAAAGGCATAAACTAGACTTCTTTATATTTCCTGTGTTGTAGTGATTCTCAGACCTTGGTGGGGAACTAGTTTAAAGTGTAACTCGCTGGTTCTCACCTCCAAAGACTCTGATTTGGGAGGACTGGGGTGAAGCTCAGGAATCTGCCTTTATGTGCCCCAGACAAGTACCCCAGAAGATTATGGTGCTGGTGGTCTATAGACTACGAGTTGAAAATGTATTATCTTTTAAATCTGGTAGGGACCTAATAAATAGATACAAGTTGAATTTAGTTGTACTTAAAATTAATTCACTGGTATTTTGTCTTCTCTGAAAAGGTTTTATTTCTCCAGTTTCTTTCTCCCAGCATCCAGTAGAGTGCTGATTAATTTCATGCTGAGGATGGTTTGAAGAAAGAGAAGGAAGGAGCTTCTAAATGGCTTTAACTGTATAGCTGGGGAATTAGCAAGGTGATACTTTGTACTATCAGTGATGTCTGGGCATAACGAAAGTGGATAGGCCACTGAAGAAAAGTCTTTTCCATTTCTACCTACTCCACACCATCAATTTGCCTCTCAAGAGCAGAATGCCAAAAAGACAGTGCAGCCAGTGTAAATATATTTTAGGCCCTAATTTCCCATGAAATGCTCACTTTCTAAGAAGAAAAAAGGGAGCAAGAGCCATAAGGAGCAGCAGAGAAGAGCTGAATAGCTGTAGCATTAAATAATAATATGATATGCATTTCACTGAATGCTTACTATGTACTAAGCTCTATTGGGCACCATGCACACATAATCTCTAGCCTTTGCAATAACCTGCAAGTAGATGTTGTGTCCCAATTTCATAGATAAGGAAACTGCCTATTTTCCATTACGTCACAATGTCTCAAGCAAGGACAACTGTGGAAAAAAACAGGGCAATGAAAAGATAGCCATGTGTGCCAGGAGTCCACCCCTAGGCACATTCATAATGAAGCTCCAGAAGTGGAAAGGGCTAAAGAGAAAAGAGAAAATCTCAGGTTGAAGGATCTTCCTAAAGGGGTAGGAAATAACCCTTTTTTTCCCAAGTGCTCACGGGCGACTTTCTCCTGCATAGTATAAGCACCCCCAAACAGGCCCTGAAAGCTTGGGAGCTTTGTTATCTGCTCAGTTCATTATCAGCCAAAGATGCGTTATTAAAATTGACATTTTCTTGGACACTGATTCCATTCAATTGATCAATATTACATATCTCAAAAAACAAACAAAACAAAACCTCTCCAGGGGCCGGCCCGGTGGCGCACTCACCATTCAATTGATCAATATTACATATCTCAAAAAACAAACAAAACAAAACCTCTCCAGGGGCTGGCCCGGTGGCGCACTCAGTAGAGTGTGGCACTTGGGAGTGCGGCGGCGCTCCCGCCGAGGGTTCGGATCCCATATAGAGACCGGTCCGCTCACTGGTTGAGCAGGGTGCGGGCACGACACTGAGTGCTGCGATTCCGTTGCTGGTCACGGTGCGGGCGCGATGCCGAGGGTTGCGATCTCGTTGCCGGTCACGAAAAAAGACAAAAAGGAAAAAAAAAAACCTCTCGGGCTCAGACCACCCACCTGCAAAACTGTTGTAACCCCAGGCTTGAAATCTCTGCTCATCTTGGAGTGTCCTCCTCCCCTGTGTTGAGCTTTAGTCCTCTGGCCACCTGATGAGGGTCCCTCTCTGTGGTTTGCATGCTCACCAAGTGGCTCCCAGACCCCTGGTTTGGTGTCCCTGCTCCTGGAAGTTTCTCCTGTCACAGGATGGATTTGTTTGGCCATGTGACAAGGGTGCTGCTCCTGCCTCCTAGTAGATATGTTCACCTCTCTGTTCTGCTTTTACAGTCACCCCGCAGAGTGCCTCCCCAGTGTCATGAGGCCCCCAGTCAAAGTGGCCTCTGCCCTGTGTCCTCCAGCACTTACAGTGACAGGCCTCTCTCGTGTGACTCGCTCTCCCAGTTCATTAATGTTCCTCTCCAGAGGAGCTCAGCCCAGCTGGCATCTGGGGCTGAGCTAGAGGGTGATCAGGGTGTCACCACACAGTGCTTCTTTGAGAGTCTCACATGCACACACTGATGCTCATCCTATTGTCCCTTGACAAGTTCCTTTCCCATCTGGGACAATGTCTGGGAGGTTGGGAAAAGGCCAGCATCTCAGGGTCTGAGACTTGGAAGACAGCCATCAGCCCCTGTGGGTACAGTCATCAGTGCTCCATGAAAGGCTGAAGCAAACGTGGCCTCCAGTCTGCTAGTCCCTACCCGGCCTGCCAGGCCCAACTGCCTAACGGGCACACAGTCAAGTCCAGTGGTGTAGGACCCTTACTACATACATTTTTTGAGTAGCGCTACTAGCACAGATTCTGTATTTTCTGAACTCTAAACTAGGATGCATGATCTGAGATAAGTTTTGCGAGAAGCAAACTACTTGAACTTGAATATGTCTCAGAAAGCCTGAGACATGTAATCATCACTTACTGAAGACACATGAGATGTCTGTCAGTGGCTCTCTCCCTCAAATGGCACATTTACAACTCAGTTAGGGAGGCAGGGAAAATTGAGCAGGACCAAGTTCCCAAGACCAAGCTCACCTGCTCTGTAAGGTGGGGAAGGAGAGACTTCCCTGCTGTCCAGCATTGTGGAGCTGAGGAACCTTGAAGGTGTGTAGGTTTGGATAAATCAAGAGGAGGCAAATAGCATTTTCAGGTGCAGGAACAACAAAGCAAGGGACAACGGGAGCAGTGTGGATGGGAGGGCCTAGGGACCAGCTTGTCCAAAGCAGCAGGACAGTGGAGTAAGGGGCCAGGCTTGATTTAATAAGCAGGAAACCATTGTGACTACTGTGTAGGTTTGGATAAATCAAGAGGAGGCAAATAGCATTTTCAGGTGCAGGAACAACAAAGCAAGGGACAACGGCAGCAGTGTGGATGGGAGGGCCTAGGGACCAGCTTGACCAAAGCAGCAGGACAGTGGAGTAAGGGGCCAGGCTTGATTTAATAAGAAGGAAACCATTGTGACTATATTGTGCATGGGGAAGAGTTGTGACAAGAACAGCTTTTAAAGATCAATAATCAGCCAGCAGAACAAAATGGGGTCATTAGAAGGGAGCCTAGAGGTAAGGAGACCAGCTAGAGGCTATCACTCTGGTCTCCATATCACTGGGTACCTGCTCCTCTCCTTCTGGAGGAGACTCACCCGAAACCCTCCCCACACACTTAGCGAGGTCCATAAGCCCTTGCTTTCTTCTCGTCGTCTTGGGCTCCAATGTCTATCTCTGCCAAATGCTCACTGTACGTTTTGCAGCTTTTCCTGCATCTCTGCCTCAACACTGACAGAAATGTAGAATACAACCTTTCCTCAGTCCCTCCCCATCCTCTCAGATGTATTTACATGGGGCAGCTAGGAGTGGAGGGAAGTAGGGGGATGGCAAGGACATGGGTACATCACAGGGCCATTAGCACACACAGCTGGAGTCAGCCTTCCAGTTCCCAACCTACCCACTTGCCATTTCTGCTGACTCAGCACCAGCTTTTGGCCCCAGCACTCGGCCTCTCTCAGTCCTCTTCTCTCTCTACCCTCAACAGTGTTGATGGGAAGGTAAATGAGGGGGGGGGGGGGGGGCAGCACTCGGCCTCTCTCAGTCCTCTTCTCTCTCTACCCTCAACGGTGTTGATGGGAAGGTAAATGAAGAGGAATGTGTCTGACATGGGCTGCCTCCTCCCCATCCGCCCACCCAACCCGGGCAGCAAGACCTGCCATGGGGTATGAGCGTGAGGATATTGGAAACATGGTGGAGGCAGGAAGCAGAAGGAAAGAGAAGCACAGGGCACTGAAAGCAAACCTCCCTCATCCTGTCGCAGCTGAAGAAGAGGGAATGGGGTCTGTACATGGGCCAGTGTCATGATGAGTCTGGAGACGACTTCTCTAGGGGAGGCAGGAGCACTGATCTTCTGAACCTGTGTGATGTTGAGAACTTCATTTACCTCTCTGCCTTTCACTTTGGACTTTCTTCTGGAAAATGAGACTATGGGACTCAGTGGTCTCCGAGGTCCTTTCCATCACTCTCAGCCTTCTGGCCAGAACCAAAAGGTAAGTCCCCTTCAACTGCAGCATTCCTTGACCATGCAAGATATCTTATGGTGAGAGGAACAAAGTGGAGACTTTCAGGGAGTCCCTGAGGTCAAACCAGCCAGGCTGACCCTCCCGGCGCCCACACCCTTTCCTTTTACTTGTTTGCTCTCCATCAATCTCAGGGTTAAACCAACTTAACAGAGGATGATGGCAACACCATGGGCCATAAAAGATGCATTAGTCCCCATAATGGCCCAGTGTCTCCAGACCACTTCCTCCATCTGGACATTTATGGGATGGTGAATCAGGGGTTACTCAGGAAGGCAGAAAGGCCAGCACCTGGTGGACAACGGATGTATTGAGAAGGGACAGGGGATCTCTGTGAAATGCCAGCTCTGGCAAGTAACTCACCACGCTGAGAGGGTTCTGAGTTCTAGCCGAGAGGAGGCCTCTGCAGGCCAGTTTGCAGGGGCTGCAGGAGGAAAATGCTCTGTTCACTTTGTTCTGCCCGGGTCATGGTGTGGCACAAGACGGAGACCCATCTCCACTGTTCTTTGGCCAGTAGTAATGCAGGAAGGATTTGAGTTCACCCTTTTGGCTAAAATGGAAGATAATTAAGGTATGAGATATTGGTAAATAGGCTGGCTGGTTGGCACAGTTGGTTCAAGCACAGCGTTACAACACCAAGATCAAAGGTTTCAGATCCCCATATAGGCCAGCCACCAAAAACCAACCAAACAAAAAGAGATATTGATAAATATACAGTCTGAGAAACAAAGTTTATTTTTCATAATACGTCTATTCCTGAAGACATTGTGTTCAAGTTGAATATATGCAAATAGAACCCTTCTATCTTCTTCAATGGAAGTGACATCTAACAATTTGGGTTTAGATTTCTTTGCCTCTTAGTCCACTAATTAGTAATGTAGAACCAACATTCAAATCTATGAAAGCAAATCCTTTTGTAAAGGATTACATTAAATTATTTGAAGATTAAAGGAAAGGTCAATAGATAATGCTTAAAACTAAAGAAATCGAGAAGTGGCAGTACATGTTTGCTATTTAGAAATATAGAAGTTAATAACAAATAAATCTATTAAATGAATTTGTAATAGTGGTCTCTGTCAAGAAATACCTAAGTCAAGTAAAAAGATCAATGATAAAATGGGAAAAAATATTTGCAACTTAAATGTCAGAAAAGGTTAGTTACCAAAGTACATAAAGTTTCCCCCCAAAAAAGAATAACAATCACAGAAAAATCAGCTAGAGTTATCAATAATTACAGGAGAAAGAAATGCTAGTAGCTCTTATCATTATGAAAAAATGTTCAACTTCACTTAAAAGGCAGGGAAATTAAAACTAGACTTAGGTTTTTTTTTAAGTTATCAGATTGGCAAAAATCCAAAATTTAAGAACACACTGCTGGCAAGATTGTAGGGAAACAGACGCTCTCCTTCATTCTTAGAATGCAAATTGGTTCAATCTCTACATAGAAGAATTTGGCAATATATAGCAGAATTGGTTATGCAAATACCCTTAACCTAGCAATCTCACTTCTAGGAGTCTATCACAAAGATATACTAGGTGTGTGTGCGTGCGTGCATGTGTGTGTGTGTAGAAAGAGAGTGAGAGAGAGAGAGGCTGAGAGAGATAGAGAGAGAAAGGCAATTTATTACAGTACTATGTGTAATAGCAAGACTGGATACAATCAAAATGCCCATCAAATGTGATTGGATGAATAAAGTATGGTACTTCCGTATACTGGAGTACTAAGCAACTGCAAAAAGGAAAGAGGAACATCTCCAAATTCTCCTATGAAGTGATTTCCAGGATATGTTAAATGAAAAAAAGAAAAAAATCAAGAAAAATGTGTACAGTGTGCCACTTAGACCAAAAGTGTCTTGTCACAACAGAAAGCAATAGAGCTATCAAAGGATACTTAGGTTTTGTCAAAAGGACTCAGGATAAAATGGTGCAGCCACTTTGGAAAAAGGATAAAATGGTGCAGCCACTTTGGAAAACAGTTTGACAGTTCCTTCAAAAGTTAAACAGTTACCACATGACCTAGCAACTCTACTCCTAGATATATACCCAAGAGAATTAACAACATAAGTCCACAAAGAACTTGTACGTGAATGCTCATTAGCAGCATTATTCATAATAGCCAAAAAGTGGAAACAGTCCAAATGTTCATCAGCTGATGGAAATAAACAAAATGTGGTATATCCATACAATGGAATAGTATTCAGCCATAAAAAGAAATGAAGTACTGATACATGCTACAACATGGATGAACACTGAAAACTTTATGCTAAGCAAATGAAGCCAGTCACCAAAGGCCACGTATTGTACAATTCCATTTATATGAAATGTCTAAAATAGGATCGTTAAAGCTGGATAATGGAAACATGGGGTTTCCTCATGCTATCTCTCTACTTTCGTATACGATTAAAATTTTCTTTAATAATAAAACATGGAAGAAAATGATTACCTCTAGGAAGCTGAAAGTATGGGGGGATTGCTTTTGTTCATAACTACTGTAGAATCATTTGTAACTACTGTAGACTCTATAATATATGCATGAAAAATAAGTATATTTAAAAATTAGATTGCTTTTGTTCATAACTACTGTAGAATCATTTGTAACTACTGTAGACTCTATAATATATTCATGAAAAATAAGTATATTTAAAAGTGAAGAGGATTTGCCATAAATATAAAACTTAGTGGTGAAATTTTAAATGCATTCTCATTAAAGTTAGAAACATCAATGATGCCTGCTCTTCAACATTGTTCCGGAGTATTAGACTTCATAATAAAACAAGAAAAAGAAATAAGAGCTGAATAGATTGGAAATAAAAGACAAAAAAATTATTGTTGTTTGCAGACTATATCGTATACAACATAGATAACCCAAAATAATTTAAAATCTGCAGGAAAACTGCTGGATAGAACAGCAAGATACAAAAATCAATATTGTTCCCATACATTGGCAATAACCAATTAGTTATTAAAAATGTGGTAGAACAAAATTATATGCATAATGGCAACAGAAACTGTAAGGTAGATGGGAATAAATCTATCTAAGGTAGATAGGAAGACATTTATGAAGAAAATAATAAAACATCATTGAAGGACATAATAATAGAACTGAATAAAATCATAAATATGACAATTTTCCCCCAGATTAATCTCTAAAATCAATGCTTCCAACCAAAAGCTCAATATAACTTTTCGTGGAACTAGACGAACTGATATCAAATTTCACAATTTCAAAATTGTGAGAAACATTTTGAAAATAAGAGGAAGAGGAGGCCAGTTTTTCTCATATATTAAGGTTATAAAGCTATAGTACCTAAAATAGTGAAATATTGGAACAGGGATAATAATCAATGAAACAGACCAGAAATAGCCTCATACAAATTTGGAAATTTGATATATTATACAGGTGATCGTTGGGAAATGATGGACTATTTGATAAATGAAGTAATCAGTAAATGAAGTAATTTGTTTGCCATAAGAGAAAAAAATGGAGTTAGATTCTTACCTTACACATAAGCAAAAATAAATCTTAGTTGAATTAAAGACCTAACTATGAAAAGTAAAAGTTAAACTTGTTAGAAGAATATAGGGGAGAATCTATTCTCAAGGTAGGAAACTCAAGACACAAAAGCTGAAACGATAAAAGAAAGTACTGACTATGTCATGCTTTTGATTATCTGTGTAAAAAATGACTCCACACAAAGTTAAAAGATAAGTGACAGATTAGAGAAGATATTTGCAACATATCAGAATACATAAGAGATTCATGTCAGAACATACAGAAAGGGCCTACAAATTGATAAGAAAAACCACCCCATAAAAAGTTGTGCAGAGGATATGAAAAATTCACAGAAGAGAAAATCAAAACAACAAATAAACATATGGAAAGATACTCAAAGTAATTAGTAATCAGAGAAATATAAAAGCAGAGTAAGATGCTATTTCACAACTATTACATTGGTAAAAAATGATAACACCGTGAGGGTGTTGGGAAACTAAAATGCAGCTGGTGGAACAACTAATTTAGTACAATAAATTTAGAGATAAAATTTAGGATGGGTCCTATCTAGTTGAAAACTCATACATTCTATGGTCCAATAATACTTATTTCCAGCATATACTTATAGATATACACCTGAGAGAAATTCTGACACATGAATACAAGAAAACATACAAGAACATTCATTATAGCATTAAAAAAAAATAAGAAGTAGCAACACTAAAGCTGGGAATAACCTAAATTATAAAAATAGGGTTTTGGATAAATAAAATGTTATATTCACATGCTTGAATACTATGCAGTAGCTGAAATGAATGAACTAGACCTATCCTACGTATCAACATGGACAGATATCAAAAGTAATGTGAAATTTAAAAAGCATGTTCCAGAATGGTACATAGAATATGATACCATTTATGCAATACTCTAAAAAACATATGTTTATGGGCCGAGCCCCTGGCGCACTCGGGAGGGTGCGGCACTGAGAGTGCAGCAGCGCTCCCGCCGAGGGTTCGGATCCTATATAAGGATGACCAGTGCGCTCACAGCGCTCACTGGCTGAGCGCGGTGCAGCCGGTCTTAAAAAGGACAAAAAAAAAAAAAAAACCCAAAAACCCCCATATGTTTATATATATAATTTTAAATGAATACATCAACAAATAAATGATTGAGAGCAAGAAAACAGAGACAAGCACAGACAGGCCTTTCGTGAGTTTTGCTGTGAAGGAGCACCTCCTGGGTGTAGTGTCTGAGAAAGGTTATAACCTTTTTAAATGGACAGTCCGTGAGCTTGCTTGCATACAGGTGGGAATGGTCTGGTAGAGAGACCGTATGCTAAGGTTACTGAAAACCATCACTCATAAAGAGCAAAATCCTTGAGAGGGTGGAAGCTTGGGCTGCAGGGCACAGAAGGAGGGTGCTACAGTATTTTAGGTGAGACATGGTAAGCGGTAGTGGGATGAAATGTAGACAAATTTGCAGGCTGTTTAGGAGGTAGAACCCTCAAGAAGTGGTGCTGATTTTACGTGAGGGTGGGTGACATTATCAAGGGGAGTTGGGTTTGATTAAAAGGCAAGACAAAAGGACGTACCTACAATTATAGACCCTGGCTTTCTGAGAGTCTTGGACCATGCTATTGCCACTCCTAGTGAACTTCTAATCTGCTCTGGAGTCTCAATAATCCCCCTTGCGTATGTACCGAAGGTAAAGTGAATGCTACAGCCAATACCGCACAACACCTTCCCTACCGAGCTGTCACCTCCTCTGGCCGGCTGGCGTTTTAGTTACTTGCACCCTCAGTACCAGCGCCTGTCACGCAGCGGTTATAACGTAAATGCTGCCGCTGTTCTGGCGGAAAAGCACACTGGGCTGGTTCTAGTCCTGCCTCTGCTGCTCACTAGATCTGTCATCTTCTAGAGCAAGCTATGCAACTTTTCTGGGCCTCTGTTTTCTAGCCCACAGGGAGGCCAACTGCGTTTGGGACATCGGAAGCACCTAGCGCGGGAAAGGCACCCAGGAGAGGCCAGCAGTTAAGACTTCCCTTGGGGATGCAAGGACCCGGGATTTCTCCTGTCGTCCCCTCCCAGCAAGCGCACCGGGGCCTCCAGGTCTAGCTCCTGCAGCCCCCTCCTCTCTCCTCTCACCTCCATCCCCCTCTCTACAGACGTCCTCGCTTTTTCTTCCACTCCTTATGGCTCCAAGTCCCCCATCAGCTCCCCAGGGACGCCTCCCTCTGGGGGCACTGCGTCGCCCAGCTGGCCACCCCTGAAGATTTTGGAACCTTTACCAGACTAACCGGGAGCCCGGGGCAGGGGCGCGCGTGACAGCGCTGCCAGCAGTAGTGTCCCCGCGTGAGTGGGAGGAGCGACCACCTCTCCCACTACCCCCCGGGTGTGCACCTGTCTGGAGAGACAGTCCGAGGGTTCCAGGCCGCGAGCGTCGAGGAGTCTGTCTGTCCGTCTGTCTGCGGGTCTGTGGGTCCCGCCGGCTGGTGAGCGCCAGCTTGCGTCCTCGCTTTCTCTCTCCCTGTCGCCGGTCCTCCCGCCGGCGGGTGGGTGCCTGTGCGTCTCACTCCGCCCTCCTCCGCGGGAGCCAACCGGCGAGTGCCGGGCCGCGGGGCTCGGGCTGGAAGCCCATAAAGCCCGCCGGCCCGGGCCGCGGCGCTGCTGCTGCTGTCTCCCTGACCCGCCTCCTCGTCTCTCCCGGGTTCCCCTCCCTGCTCAGGGGTCAGCGATCGCAGCCACATTCTCTTCTCCCTTATCTCACCCTTCCTCCTCCTCCTATCCCTCTCCTCTGCACTATTTCCACCTCCTTTCAAGCTTTCTCCCTGTCATTTCCACCCTTTTTTTCTCTCCACCTTACACCTTTCCCTTGCCACTCAGTTTTATCCATCGTACCTTGTATCCTCTCTCCTCTCCTCCCTTCCCAGCAAACCTTGACCATGGATGCTGGGCCTCCTTGGGTTGCCAACCCCACCCCCGGGGGCACCCTCTCTGCCCCCAATGCTACAACATTCTGGCTGGGCAGGGATGAGGAGCTGGCCAAGGTGGAGATTGGAGTCCTGGCCACTGTCCTGGTGCTGGCCACAGGGGGCAACCTGGCTGTGCTGCTGACCCTAGGCCAGCAGGGCCGCAAGCGCTCCCGCATGCACCTGTTCGTGCTGCACCTAGCCCTGACCGACCTGGGCGTGGCGATCTTCCAGGTGCTGCCCCAGCTGCTCTGGGACATCACCTACCGCTTCAAGGGTCCTGACCTCCTCTGCCGGGCTGTCAAGTACCTGCAGGCACTCAGCATGTTCGCCTCAACCTACATGCTGCTGGCCATGACACTGGATCGATACCTGGCCGTCTGTCACCCCCTGCGCAGCCTCCACCAGCCCACCCAGTCCAGCTACCCACTCATTGCTGCTCCCTGGCTGTTGGCTGCTATCCTCAGCATCCCTCAAGTCTTCATTTTTTCTTTGCGGGAGGTGATCCAGGGCTCCGGGGTGCTGGACTGCTGGGCAGATTTCCGCTTTCCCTGGGGGCCACGGGCCTACATCACCTGGACCACCCTGGCCATCTTTGTCCTGCCTGTGGCTATGCTTACGGCCTGCTACAGCCTCATCTGCCACGAGATCTGTAAGAATCTGAAAGTGAAGACACAGGCCTGGAGGGTAAAAGGAGGAAGCTGGCAGACTTGGAACACGCCCTCACCTTCTGCCCCAGCTGCAACCATGCAGGGGCTGCCATCCCGGGTCAGCAGCGTCAGCACCATCTCACGGGCCAAGATCCGAACCGTGAAGATGACCTTTGTCATTGTTCTGGCCTACATCGCTTGTTGGGCACCCTTCTTCAGTGTCCAGATGTGGTCTGTGTGGGACGAGAACGCCCCTGATGAAGGCAAGTGGTGTGTGTTGGCAGGGGGTGGCGGGCAATGAGGTGGACAGAAGGATGAGGGTTAGGGGCTGCAATGCCTCCTAGGGCCAGGCAGGTCACAAGTAAAGCAATTAAGATAGATGGTGCCTGTCGCACCTGAAAGGGGCAGTTATAACTCCCGTACAGCCTGCTGATGTTAACTAATTTAACAATTTAAAAATACTATGTAGTACTAACGAAATATGACCATCGGCAGATTTGGCCAACCAATTGCCAGTTTGCTAGATGGGCTTTAGAACCATAGAATTATACAGCTGAAAGAGATTTTCATATGCCCAGTGCAGGATGGCAGTTGTGGCCCCCAAACTGTCTCAGCAGTCTTCCCTCCCACACCTGGATGTGACTTTGAACTCCTTCTCAACATCCACTTCCAATTGACTAGGGTTGTACATGACAACTTTGAAATTTCAAGTTCAACCTCTTCATTTTGCTAATGAGGAAACAGAGGTTTAGAAAGGAGCCGTGACTTGCCTAAAGCCACACAGTTAGGGAGTGACAAAGTGAAGATTAGAACCCAGGTCTTCTGTCTCCTTGCCTCTTTCTTCAATCCAGTGCCCCGCTCACAACTGTGGTTCTAAAAGTGGTTCTAAAAGAAGGGAGCCCTTCTTCCTATATGAAAAACACAGTGGGACCCTTCAAGAGGACTTCGAATGTTCCCAACTGGCGTGCGGGAGGCCTTCTCATCACTTTTCTGGGATGAGGCAGATGGCAGTCGCCTGACCTTTAGACATTTCATGGTCCAACCATCTGGGAGCTCGTTCTCAGGAAAGCAGGGGCTGTGTCTGGGCAGCCTAAGTGTTGGAGAGTGGTGTTCAAAAGCGTCTGCTCCTGATCTCCTAAGCAGGTGTGGGACATGAGGACGAGGCCTGTTGACCTGTCTTGGTGGCTGTGAATAGGGTGACCGTGCTCTGCACAGTGTGTGTGCAGTTCTAGATGTATAATGGGTACAGCTTGGGACTGCCCTAGGGAGGCCCTGTGCACAGGTTCTTCTGGAAGCTCTCTGAGAGTTCACTGACCAGCAGACTCAGGCTACCAATTTCTGCCAGCCGTTAGGAAGTTGTCCCCTTCCCTTGTGTTTTTGTTCCTAATCTCATTTTGCTCATTTCAGGACACTCTTCTGGAAGCTCTCTGAGAGTTCACTGACCAGCAGACTCAGGCTACCAATTTCTGCCAGCTGTTAGGAAGTTGTCCCCTTCCCTTGTGTTTTTGTTCCTAATCTCATTTTGCTCATTTCAGGACATGCTCAAGCCAAATGCTTTGCTTTTCTGGAAAGGTGAAATAGGGAAAGGCTGCTCATGAATTTAACACAACCACACAAGAGAAGCGCAAAGATAATACCCCACTCTTTGGGTCCTATTGTGCCCCTTCTTAACTATCCTTTTGACATTAGTCTGGACAAGAGGCTATTTGCAAGTTATCCTTTAAGCAATGAGCATCTTATTCTAACCAACTGGTGGGACCTCCCTGCTCTAGCCAAGCACAGAACAGAAGGAAGAAGGGCTTCCTAGTGCCAAGCACATTTAGTCCTCATGCTACTGGGGGGGGGTGACCTCTATCTTACACCTGAGCAACTTGAGGCTCAGAATGGTGAATAACTGGACCAGAGTGCTGCTGCTAGTCCAGGATGGAGCTAGGACTTGAATCGAGGTCTTTGTTGACCACGCTTTATCTGTGACATGGCTTTAGTCCCAACAATCGCAGCTTAGCTGATGGCATGAGAGGGGAAAGGGTCATTCGCCCCTTTATGGAGGAACCTACAAGAAGATGGCAGTGCTGCCACTCAGCCAGTGCAGGCTTTCCTGCTTGCCTGCGATGTCCACCTTCATTATGAGCCTGTCCCTCAACACCTCATCCCTCACCTGTGTAGTGATTCACCACTTACCAAGGACCTCTCTGAGCAAGGCATACAGTAACGCAGTGTTGTCTTACACACCATGTGCCTCTCAGAAAAGTGAAAGCCCTTCGGGCTGAGATTGATTACTCTGAGCTTACTTTCCAGTACCCCAGGTCCCCTCCACAGTACGCTGGCCTCCCGGCCCTGAATCTCTGGTCAGAACCTGCCTGTCCCCTTGCCCTTGCCCCCAGTTGTCAGCAAAGTCTCCTTCGGGACACAGCGGCAGCCACCTGGACTGGGTGTGGTGGCTCTGCCCTCAAGGGCTGCCCCTGGTGCTTGCTCTGCAGCACATGTCCAGCCTCTGTGCTTGGACCAAACCAAACAGATGCTTCCTAAGTGAAGGAACTTGTGAAGCTCCTTTGTCCCTGACTTAATCCGGGCACTCACTGTATGTCAATGGAGCAGACATGACGAATACCACCCCCTTAGCCAAAGCAATTTGCCAAGTCTTCTGCAGCTCGCAGTTACATGTTAACCAGGAAGCAGCCAGAACCTAGGTAAAACTGAAGGAGGCTGAGTTTGTTGTTGAGGCTGGTCCCTCCTCCACTGACAGATGCTCCCTCTGCCCTCACCTCTGTGTCCAGCCCTGTGTCTCTAGGCCTAGAAACCTTCAGCTTCCCACACCTATGGCACATGCCTTCTACCACAGTTTTTACTCTGTGTCTCCCTTCTCAGGACCATCGGTGGCCACACCTGTGAGCACACCCATGGAGTAGTGAACAAGGATCTAGTGTGTCTGAAGCATTCACAGTGCTTTACAGAGTAGACACTCGAGCTCTGCCTTTGAGTTTGCTGGTTGAAGCTTTGAAGGGGCTCAGGATCTCTGCCTTAGAGCTGGAAGACCTGGGTTTGAGTGGCAATTCCTATGAACTGTGCTATAAAAGTTGGAAAGTTTACCCTTAGGCTTCCTTCCAGCTCTGACATTGCAAGGTAACTCAGTATGCCACCTGTGCATAGCTGTGACCATGGTGGGTCTAGCAGGAGGCCAGGGCTCATCCCAGCAGCTTTCCTGTTGGTGTGAGGAATTCCATTTTTTTTTTAACTTTTTTTTTTATTTTTAAAAGATGACCAGTAAGGGGATCTTAACCCTTGACTTGGTGTTGTCAGCACCACACTCTGCCAAGTGAGCCACGGGCCGGCCCTGGAATTCCATTTAGTCTTTAGAACATTGTGTCTGGATGGAATCTTATCAGAGTCTCTGCACCTTCACATTTTGACTGCCCAGGAAAGAAATTCCTTTTTTCTTACTGGAGGGCATTCCCTGGGTACAGTCTGAGAACACAGAAGAAGTACTGGTCTGGGATGGGATGCTTAGGTGCCCTGTAGCTAGAAGCTTCTCCCTCTGCTGCAGCTGGAGATAATGGCGTTAGTACCTGCAGGGCAGTCAGGCTCCACTGGTTACCCTATCAGGTCCCCAGGACAAGGCCTGGCACAATCGGCATTCCCACATTCAGTGACTGAATGACAGAATGAGTGGGACTGCCCCTGAGGAACAAAGGACATAATCCAGAAGGCAATGGGAACCCATGATCTA